TCGTATAATTCTTCCTGTTTCCGTTTAAGATGAATTTGACCCGAAGCTATAAAGAGTATCTATTAAAATAGTATTTGTTCTTAATAATGAGATTACATCATAGATGGTGTCAAAAAAAGAAGACGAAGAAAAACGGACGGATGTCATTTATGTTAATAAAACAAGTATTGAATAAATTTTTATAAAAAAAAAAAAAAAAAAAAAATTGTTTTGAAAATCATGTCTACGATTAACTTACTAAATCAAGTGTCCAACTACCCGATGTTGAAAATGAACAATGAGTTGTTGCTGATGAACACGATGATGATGACGACGACGATAACGATGAACGATTTTGATATAAATGTCGAATAAATTCAGCAGTAGTTTCAGGTGATGTTGACAATAATTGATAATTAGAGATAAGTTCATATGATTGTTTTAAATTTTCCCAAGATAAACTTCTCAAACGTTTTGGTCGATGTCCAATCTAATAACAAAATGATTTTGAAAAACAAATTTTGAAGTTTTCTCTCTAATTTAATCATTACTTGATTTGAATGTTTATCTTCTATTGCATTCGTTGTTAATGTTGATAGTCGTTCAATAACATGATATATTGATGCACATTCTTTACGAATATTCTAAATAAAAAAATTCTTCGCAATCAATAGATAAGATCATCTAATAATAGTTGCTCTTTTTTTTTCATTTTTCAACTTTCATACATACATATATATATATAGATATATATGCATAATTTTTTTTGTGAGATGAATGAGAGTTGCGTCATTAATGTATATGTTCGCTCGTCTCTCCTCACTTTAATATAATATTAGATGCGTGTGTCACTCCCGTATGTATGATTTGAGCTGTAGCTACTATATAGAGTCCATCATCATCAAGAACGAAGGTCAGTAAACGAGGTGAACCGACAATAAAAAAAAAGAGGTATAAAAAGAAAAGCGAAGAAAAAAGAGAAATCCCACGAAGGAAAAGTAACATTGAATTTGACCATCAGCTGTGTATGTGCTGTGCCTGATTATTTATTCAAAGAAAAATGCAATGACCTATCTGTATATAGACGGTAATCTGAGTCGGGTGTTGACCCTTTGACATAGTATAAGTTTATGGATGGAAATTGTCTGACAAGAAAAGATAGACAGCCAGACATTTTGAGTGGAATGATCATTGAACCGTCTCGTACAACACCATCTGGAAGTACGTCTTCATTGTCTTTTAAGTTGTGTTAATGAAATTTGGCACCACCTTAATTCTCTTTTTTCTTTCAATTTATTCTATCATCTCTTAAAACCGTCAATATTGAACTACCTTTTATAGATTCATGAAATGCAAGGAAGCGTAAAGACAGTTTACTTACAATAAAACTTTTTGATGATGTCGTCGGTCGACTAACCATTTTCATATAAGAAATGAAAATGTTCAAATGAAGAAGAAGCAATGTCCGGTGATTTCTTCTTTTACTCTGTCACATCTGCTTTCGCTGTTCATCTGTTCTCTCAACAGAAATAGTAACTACTATCCATGATTGCTGACCTCACATCACTCATCATCAACAACAAGAAGAAAGAAAAGAGAAGAAAACGAAAGAAATAATTGGTTTCAGGACATATGCTGCCATAGTCTACTTTTTTCAGCTATTGTCAAGATAGGAAATGACCAAAAGGCGGATTATGAAATCAAAGTCTTCTACTGTAATTAGCCGCAGATTTTCTCTTTTATTTTTCCGTAAATAAAGAATGCTTTGATAAGATTTATGTTGACCTTTTCTAGGGATACATGAAAAAGAAAGAGAATTATGCAAATCTTAATCGTCATCATTCTTTATTGTTTTTTTCGCTTACTTCTTGCAAAACTGCTGTTCTTAAAACCATTGTTGTTAATTGATCTAAAAATCGCTCATATTCTTGTCGTTGACATTGATTTTCGGCAAATAGTCGTCCATTTTCTTGTTCAAGTTGACGTATATGTTCTTCAAGGAAATGTGTTTGTTGAGTGTCTACACTTGTTGTACACTATTATTCATAAATCAATAGAAAAAAAATTTGATAAGAAACACAGAAGAGCATATAAAATATATATATTTTTTTTATTATATTTTATTTACCAAAGCCTCAAGTTGATCGATACGTTTGTGTAATTCGACATTTTCACTTTTGAGAACTGACACACGTTCGTCAAACTCACGAATCTTCGTCTAGTAAATATAAATAACTTTGATGAAAAAAAAGAAATTTGAATTTTACTTCATATAACGAAGGATCGTGAAGTTTGTTCTTCCATTTGAGTAAAATACTCATATTCGTCGACTGCTACAGATTGGCCATGACTAAAATGAAATGTTCTATTCTAGGACACATATATACTGGCACAGATGTTTGTGTTAAGAGCAGAATGAGAGAGAAAAAAAAAAGAACGGACGAGTGTGAGCGAAATTCTCTCTCTCTGTTTCTCTCTTTCTCACTTATGCTTGAATGTCAATCGGCTCGACTAGATGTGTGTACAAGTGCATATAGTTCAATGAACAAATGAGAACAATAGGAAGAACGAAAGATTTCGACCACAGCTAGTGATATGTATTAAGCTCGAATAATACAAATGTATTTAATTGCTTACACACGTTGAAGGTACCATATATATAGAGAGAGAGAGTCTAGACTACGGTGATATACTCCCATCAATGAAGTATGATCAGAAGCAACATTAAAAACATGAATAACAACATTTGAAACCTTTTCTGAGACTGAATTACTCTAATCACTTATTCTCTTGAAAGCTATGCAGACATACGACAATAACAAGAACGATAGCTTGCTCTTCTGCATCATTGACGCCATTGTGTTCTTTGTAGCTACAACTGCTGTAACTACTTTATTCATTTTTTACTTTCTTTTCATGCAATGCTTTCGCCTACCTTGCTGTCTTGTAATTGGAATGATGCAATAAAGTTAAAATAAACGAGCAAAAAAAAAAGAAGAAGCAAAATGTCAACTAAAGAGAAGTAGTCGCGATTATATTAAATGAGACGACTTGAGGCTATCTGTTAGGAGCAGTTTGCCGGACAAAAAAAGCTTTGCATGTCAAAGTATGACAATGGAAGTACCCACATGACTGACCGCAAACATATACATATACGCACTCAACAAAATAGCCATTTTCTTTGTTCTAATCCTCTTTTTTTCTTTTCGTGTCCACATTGTTGACATATCATCGATAGATGAACAGCATATAAAGACAAAAGAAGAAGATGATGAAGAAGAAAGTGGCCGGCTTTATACATCTCTCCATTATGTAATTGATGTTTGCCATATACACTATCCCTCGTTTATCGCTCTATTCATCATAACAACGAGCAAAGAAAAACGAGAATTTATTTCATACACAAACAAAAAAAGGATTTAGATACAATTTAGTAGTCCTCTAGTTAACAATTTATAAACCACTATCACTCACCTACTCTCTCATTTGTATAATTGTTATAATGGCAGTATCTTTGTTATTGCTTTTTATATAGAGATAATGATGAGAACGACAAAATTGTGTGCGTGTTTGTATATGTTCTAATACTAAAGAATGTGCTTCCTGATCGCGTTCTATCGGTCTATCTATCTATCTATTTCCCTCTTGTATACCGTTTAAAGGGAAGAGACAAATGTCTATATGTCGTTTGGCTAACAAACATTACCATTCCTATACTCTCTCTGTCTCTCCCCGTCATTTTCTCTATCATTCGCTATTCTTCCAATAGGACAAGGACTGAGAAATAAAAACGTGTGCGCGATACAATATTATCCAACAGTGTATGCTTCTTTCGTCGAAAACATTTCTGCAATTAGTGCATTTTGTCTCACGTACTGTTTTGTCGTCTTTCAAGCATCCAAATCAATAGAGTATTAGCTTATTGTCCTTTCTAGTCGATAGTAAAAATGATAATCTCCCTAGTTGATGATGACGATGATGATGATGATGTTGTTGTTGAGAAGTGTGAATGAAACTTACCGTCTCGTCGTTAAGACGTGCACTTATGTATAGCTTAATGTGCTCGTTCAATTTCTCTTTAGCTCTCTTTCTCTGTTATTAAAATGGGTATCAATTACTATTGTGCAAATTTTTTTTTCTCTTGATTGTGTAATGTGTAAGTCATCCAAAAATAGGAAGAATTGAGTTGCTATTTTTTTTTATAGAAAGAACGATATAAGATTCTTCGTCTCTTGATAGAAAAAGAAAGTTACTCACTTGCTAATTGATTGAAGGTTACTCAGCGACAACGATGATGTGGAGGAAAAAAAAAGATGAAAGTTAGCCTTAACTATCTATCAGTCCATTTATCTTTATCTATCTTTCTTTGCACGAGTGCTCATAACTTGACCTCGTCCTGATAGAAATGCATTGGCAAGGTCACTTCAGTAGTAACTGTTGTTCATAGACATATGTCAAGCAAGCTCAATAGCACATAACCACGAACTAACAGTGCGTTGTGCTAATCACTCTGTCGAATTGAGGAGTATGGAAAAAGAATGAGAGTAAAAAGTATATAGTGGACACACAGTGGCGCACTGAACACTTACAAAAAGGATGAAAATGAATCAATGAAAGAAAGAGAAAGAAAAAAAAAGGAAGAAGAAACTGACACTTATGTCGATGAACAGATTAGATTGGGGAATTGGTGTGCTGGAAAAAGGTCAAAAGAAAAAATATTGAAGGAAAAATATCGAGAGAAAAAAGAAACATCAAACCTGGAAAATATGGAAAAAAAGTAATGTCGTCAGTAAATGATTACTCTAAGCACCTATAGTTCATTGTTGTTTTTGCTAATAATTCTGCTAGTCTCGATTTGGCATTAGTAGTAATGATGATGAGTAATACTTGATATAGATCAACTAAAAGAGTCAGATAAAGAACTATTATATAATAGAAATTCTATTATTATAGCTGCAGCTGTTTCATCTTCACTCGATTTAACTCGACCAAAATCGTCAGTTATTTCATATATTTATTCACAAAAAGGAAAACCTTTTGCTTATAAGTAGATAACTGTGTTTTCAATTTGAATAGACCAACATCAACTATCAAATATTGGAAATGCACATTAAATGAATTTTCAACAGAAATTCATGCAAACTTGAATGATCATGTGTCAATTCAATTTAATACAGGTTTAGAAGCAAGATCACAAGAATCCAAAATAATTCTCATTCAACATCGTATTGAGACTCTTGGTGAACGATATTATGACAATATTATAAATGCTATGGCATATTTAGATAGTTTATCATGTATAGTTGCTTAACAAAAAGAAATGATACTTTATAAATTTTTCTTTTTTATATTTTGACCTATGTTTCATCTGTGTTCGAATATTAGTATCAGCTTTCGACTTGAGTCGGGTCAGATCTTGGGTCGAGTCAAACCGACCTCGACTCGGGTCGAATCACGAAAAAAACTAGCCACAAGTTAGACTGAGTCAAACCTTGAATCGAGTGGGATCCATCTGTGCTCGAATCAGTTCGGGCCGAGCCAAAAAATGCATGAGTCGGATCGAGTTCGATCACAAAATTTTGACCGATGTTGCACACTGATCTGTCTTATCCCATACAATAAAGCATGTTCCTCGCTAGTTGGAATTTTCTAAAACATTTCTCGAATATTTTCTTGACATTGATGATTTTCTTTCAATATCTTTGCGTTTGATATGTTTCTTTTCGTCATTGTTAGAGCCAACTGGGGAATTACGCGATTGATGTTTATTATTTTGATGAGATCAATATGTTTCAATAGCGTGATTGTATGCAATATCTCGCTTAAACAAAAATAGTAATAATAAAAGAAAATGTGTTTAATCAATAGGAAAATCATGTCTATTTCATAATGAATACTACATAAAAGATGTGCGATAAAATACTTTGTCACATATTCTTTCATTTAAATTATAGGTAGTCACCTTGATCATAAGTACTACTCTATGTATGCATGATCGAATCATTCAATAAAAATTAAAAATTACACTTACTACCCGTCGTGTCATTCATATCTTTGACAATAACAGTGTGTAAATAGTAATAGTGAACAATGAAAAGCGAAAGAGTATGCACACAGGCGAAGGACGAACAAAGGTCAATTAAATATGTATGAATATATGTTCAAGAACTGTATGATTATAACGTAGGAGTGTAGGATTGAAGAGAGAAAAAGATTAGTTGAGCTAATCAGGTGTCTATCAATGGGTGGGTGGATGGTAGACTTGAAGTCGTTGAACTAATTATGTATCCATTTCTATTCGTTAGTCAAGCTTCAACAATATTATTGAAAGAACAATTACTTTTATTCTTTCATCATCTATATATAAATATATACATACAAAAGATCTTTTATTGAGAAAGAAATGTTCGTCGGCTGATGCCTGTTTTGGTAATTTATTGACGACTGATTATTTGCATTCATGTATGGAACAAAGGCAGTTGTTTATAGTACGGATATAGATACTGACAATCTATTCTTTACATTAAGATCTTATTGTTAACAGAAAGTACATTGACATTCAATATTACAGAAACAGTCTACTCTCTTTAGTGAATCATATTGATTAAACATATGTCGAGTTTTGATTTGAATTAACATCGCAATAAATTTTATATTTATTGAGTGTTGAATCAATTAAATTGATAAGGATTTTATTACCGTATAGTTTTCTTTCTGATATCTGTCAAGTATTATATTTGTCATAGAGGAGAAGTATATATTTCTCTTGTCTATAAATTTCACTTCCAATATAAATAATTACCAAATAGTTTTATTGTATGAAGTGCATACTTCAAAGTATTTGCTAAACAGAGAACATGTGTTCATGTCAATAGTTTGATTTGATGAATACAGCAACTGAAGACATAAATTTCAGAAAAAAAAGCGAAACTGGTTTTGTCGTCATAAAAAAGTTGTCTGATCCCATAGTAAGTATGCATCAATATTAGATTGTCGTTTTTCAATGTCGTCTTAAGCTCTCATTACTATCATAGAGCAGTATGATTTGCTCGTCAAATGTCAATGTGCGTATGAGATTTATTCTGTATGACATTTTTTCTAATGTAATATATCGTTAGAAACCATTATAAAGATTACTATCTGTTTTAACTATGACGTATTTTTACTCAAAGATTAATTATAATTTTGTTAAATTGTTGAATTTATAAAAGTTTTGCATTATATTGAATTTCAAAAATATAAATAGTTAAATATAGTTCATACCAGAAGAAAAATATGGTATTAAATAGTAAATTAAAGAATAATTACAACAAATAATTCATTGTCTATTTTTTGCTTTTTTTAATATTGTACTTGAAAGGTTCTATGTAAATAATTATAAATAGGATTTTGATTATAAATATTTCTCTTTCATTGATGATGAAAGTTGATATTGTAGAATTTGAGAGAAATTGAAGTTATTGAAAACTTAAATTATTTATTTTGAATGTAAACGGAAATAACGTCTGAGAGTTGAATTACAGCAGTTGTCGTTCGATCATATAAAAAAGAAACAAGCTGAAAATCAAATATACTAGATTCAAGAATCACTTGAGTAGTGCTTTTTATTAATTATTGAGAATGTTGACACCAGCTTGGTAATTAGCGCATTCGCTTCAAAAATCAATAATGAGACAAAAAAAGTGCTTTTCCAGATGATTATTCCATGTGTTAGCAAGTATTATGCAAAATAAATCAATGAAAAACTATTGCGTTTTGCTTATCTGAATAGAACGATTTATTCTAGTTCTATCTTTTTATATCTTGTTAAGAGTCTTAATTTATCAAATATTGATTATATTGTTAAAAAATATTGAAATAGATGTAATAAAAATGTGCCAGCAAACATGAAGTATTGAATGAATGTACTGATATTCTGTTTTGAGGTAATGAGAATTCAACAGCTTGAATATGAAATTATATTAGTTGAATTGTTAGTTTCTCTATAATTCAATAGATTTGGATTGATAACAAGATCAGTTGAATCACTACAAATTGAAGACTAATCTGACCAAAAAATAAGTATTCATGGAGCTCATTTGGTTTCTTCGATTGTTATTGTGTATGGATCATGCTTGCGTAAACTATTTACCACATGACATGACAAATATACAAAGAGTGCTAAGCCTCTGTTTCATGTCAGAAACAGTTAAGTGTTCTGTCCACATTCAAATGCAGAAGATTTATTATAGCTAACAAAATCGATATACTAGTTAAGACTGATTACTATGGAGTGTATTTTCCTGCAGATTGATCTATGTTACCAATTGCGCCTATAAATTTACTCTGTGAAAATGAAACGAATAATAAAATTGAAATCTGAAAATTCAGGAATGTATAAAAAAAGCATAACACCGTATTCCATATTGCTATTTTTGTTTTGGCTTCGATGAAATTAAGAAAAGTACGGAAACGACAACTATGATTACGTCAACAAACGATCCATAACAAATAACTAAACTAAAGAAAAAAGGTCACTATCTCATATTTCGATGGTATCCCTTTGTGGAATCAAAATGATAAGACAAAACATCAGTCATGTGCATTCGTGTAAAAATATAAGATGAATTTAAAACAAAGTGAATTCTTGTTGTAAAATTATTTTCATTATCAAGACAAAATATATTATTTCATACATGATTTTTTTTTTATAAAAATGAAAATCTTGTTTGATTTAAACAAGGAGCGATTTAATTGAATACCGATAGGATGATCATGAAACCGGCAAACAAAGATAGAACATAGTGGTTTCTTTTGATAGTTTCAGGCATTATATTGAACAATATACAAAATTGCCATAAAGAATTCGATAAATGTAATTCGATTTTCCGATGAATGGTGACAACGACAAAAACTTTATGTTGTAGAATTACTTAAATAATATGTGATCTGAAATATTGCATATGATTGCAAACTAAATCGTTAAAATACTAAAGTAATAATTATTTTTTGGTAGTTCTGTGTTGATACAATGGCATACAATTACAAAATATTCATCAGTTATAAATTGCTATGTGAAGGTTACTTTTTTCATAAACTGAATGTACGTATCAGTTGTGTTTGATGCATTATATAAATTATTTCTTATCAGGCTAAAGCATCGTCTTAGCAATAACATCATCAAAAAAACTTTATTCATCAAATTTGTTTAATATGGAGACATTTGAATGTTATATCGAATCATTTTTTTTATATCGTCTCGATGATGAATGTAAAAAGTGATTATAATTAAATTTGTATATTGAAAAACAGTGCTAAAAAATTTTTTTGAAAATGTGCAGGAACTTGATAAAATATGACAATGAAATTATTAATTTGACATATTCTTTTTATAAAATTCTATAAGGTATAGAAAAAAATCCAATATCAAAAAACAGAATTTTTGAATTGATATTTATTCAAGTACGATATTCAGTATTTCTAAAGCACCGGGCATGGAACGATGTCGTTGTTCAGAAAAATGGATATGATTAACAATTGTTATTTGTCAGTCCGAAATTGTTTGGTAAGTCATTGAGATACAAGTTTAGAATAAAATTGAAGTTTGTAGTTGATAAACTCAGATCTATGAATATTCAAGATGTTCTTCTAAAGTTTGTTCGAATGATGATGCTACATGCATAAATAATAAGAAGATCTGTGAAATATTCGATTCGATTTTTCCTAGGATATTTGTTATGTGTCGTTTCGTATATTTACAATTTAGTGATATACTACTATTTAACAGAGTTCATATAATCAACCACTTTTTGATAAGGCTGAAATATGTCTGAATTCGTTTCTTTTCTTGCCTTTTCTGAGCATAACAGAAAAATTTTCTTCTGTTTTGTTCAAGATAAAAGATGCATTCTATTTTGTTTTTCTTTTCTTTTTTATGGTGATCTATTCAAGATAATCAGAGTGGAATATTATTTAAATTTTCTTGAAATTTGTTATAAAGACTTTTTCAAATTTATTCGGCATTTACCTGGAAACTAATCAACCAAATTCGAGGGTGGCTTTTAAAAACTTTATTGTTATAAGTCAATAATCTTAAAACATTACTTTTTCGAATTGGTATTTCATTTAATATAAGACAAGAAAATATTATAGCTAAAGAACAACAACTTTAACATTAACATTCAATCTTTATGTGAAAATGATTGAAATATTTTTATTGATAGTGATCGGTCATGTAAAGAAATTATCGTTCTAATACACTGACTATGACAAGTATTTGCTATGCATGTCTATTAACTGAATAAAAAAGCAAAAGGAACAATGGACTGATCA